GGGGGGGGGGGGGGAGTGGGGAACAGAGAAAATAACCCCACTCGATGTTTCACTTTGATTGCAAGGAAACAAACATAAACACAAAACCGAGACGACACATCAAGTGCTCAGTAATTCAGGTGTCTGCAATCTGCTTTTGTCTTTAGGATGTGATTTACGTGGCACTTACGCCTCCTTACGTTGTCTACATCATGCATTTTGTTTGCACTAAGAGCGGAAAACAACGCCACACTCCTGTCGAACTTTTCTACAGAAAGTAGAACAAGACGTGCAACAGCAAGACAACCTGGTACGGGGAGAACCTCGTTTTTATGGTAAATGGAAAGATGCCAGCCCTGAATACAGAATACCCATATAGTCACAAGTGACAGACAGTGCCCACTTAACTGCTTGTTGACAGGCTGGTCTAATCTGGACTGGAGAATCCCAAATACTCGAGCCTGTATTTTAAATTAAATGTTTTCAAATGTCAGGGAGTAGCAGTGCTCCAAGCTTTATTCTGTTTAGTGCATTACCAGCAAATAGCTCTTGTCCCTTAGGGCACCAACTGATTGAGGGATAATGAAACATCAAAACTGTTCAGAGCAAACAATTAAGAGGCAGCTTTGTTTCTGCAGACAGTGACCACATCCACATAACCCACTTGGACAATAAAGCTCTCGCAGTTTTCATGGGAGTCACACTGTGCAACAGGTGCGGTTTCTCCCAACTATATATATTTTCACTCTTTTCCCAGAGCTAATCTTATGGAGATCGATATATGGAACAGGTGCATTTGCCCATGTCCTGAGCACACACCTGAGCCAGTGTTGGTAAGCACAACAATCTAGATACTCTTAAAATACTGAAGAAGGAAGATGCAGCCGAGCTGCAGGTTTCAAGCGAGCCAGACACTGAATGTACTGCATGGCAACTATCAGATGCTAACATCTAACAAACAGAACCTATGGAACAAAACTTTCCTTTGGAATCTGTCACTAGTTTCAACGGTTGCAATCCCCAGGAGATTGAAAATGGCTTGAAAGAAAAACCCACTGATGGAGTATCCCTCCAATGGCCCATGAATCTTACAGTGTCACTGCTCAGTTTTGGAGTTTGATGCAGACTTAGCAGTGGCTGACTTTTTAACCGATTTAAGCATCTGGAGAACATGCTCCAAAAACCATCTGTAGGCTTGCCCACGAGAAACTTAAAGAGTCTGGGGAATAACTCATGTTAATATTTTTCTGTAAAAAGTTGTGTATTAATTTATACCAGGGCTTATTGCAAAAACTTCTAGTTCCTGCCATGGTGGGTCAAGTCAGCGGATAATAGACTGCAAGTTATCTTATTTATTCCCAGCTGAAGGAGAGGGTGCAGCCTACAAGACCAAGATACATCCTCCGCTTGCAGAAACCACAGCTATGGGAGGTGGGGGGTGGGACTGCTAATGGGAATACACTTGCCTTGTGTGGGCAACTAATGGCGTTAGGGAAGAAAAACATAACCTTTGGCTAGTTGCCACTGCACGCAGAATCGAATTCAGGATAGCAATGACTGGAAGTCACTGCCGTCTACCGACTGCCTGGAGATTTATGTATAGTGAGGTGGTAGTCTCCAGTTGGCCAATATGCACCTCCAAAACACGCACACATACATGCACATATGCACGCACGCGGGCACACACGTGGCAGCCTGGCTACCAATCCCAGCAGAGAACTGCAACTACACAGGCATATTAAGGAATGAAGACCACCTGCTCTTTCCTATAAGAGTCATGGTAGGTTGTCTTTAAAGCTCAGTTGGGGGGAAATATGTGTTTTGCTTCCAATTTTGTAACTTCTCTGTGCTGCTGCCCCTATGACATCCTTCACTCCCACGGAATCACCTAAAATGCCTTTAATTAAGAAACCGTCTCAATGTATCATCTCAGTCTTGGCAAAATGAGCTCAAAGAGGCAAAAGGAAGCTGTCACCATCACAGTTTTAGCAACGGCTAAAAAAAAAAAAATAATAATAATAATGGCCAACCTGATAAAGACTGTCAATTTGAGCTAAAGCCCTGTGGAATGGGGAAGAATGGCCTTTGTAAACACATGCACATGTGACTCAAATTAAATTAATTAGAACCACAAATTACTCCCCTCTCAATAAGGATGTGATAATGCAATGGCTTAATGAGAAATACCAGAGATTGCTGAGAGATCTCTGAGCACAAGGGACAGTAATCAACCCACCATCACAGAGTCACCTGTACATTAACAATGAGTTAATCGAAGGGTGTTTGCACGGGTGTACGTTGGGTACAGTCAGGCCAATTAAATTATCAATCACTTTCCATTGTCAAAGGAAGGGTGCCTAGTGGTAAAGATGTAATTTAACACCTTGGAGACTTCGGTTCAATCCCTGCCCTGCTACGGACACCCATTGTGACCTTGAGCAGGTCATTTAATTGCCCTCAGTGAGACCCAGGGAGGCAGCATGCTCATTATGGGTTCTTCCAGGTGACTTGTAGTCTGCGATTCCTATACGACCATCAGCACCAATGTTACGTTGGCATGACGGATGCAGAACAAATAAATGAACTGCATTGCTTTTCACAAAAAAGCATTTTTTCCCCTCCTCTTCCTGTGTTCCCAAAGGTTTCTACATACAGCTGGCCTCACTGATCTGTTCAGCTACATTTTGAAATGCAGGAAAACATGTAAATTGTTTAGCAAGTTTTGCCCCATGAAAGACCGCTGCTTCAATATCTTTCCTCTCCAGGTATATTTGACGTGATGATGCGCTGTGGGTACGGTAGCCCACAGACCACCATTTTCTGGCACATTGAACTGGCATATTTTTTTCCACTTTAAGACTGCTTACACTGATTTGTTAGGTTTGATTTTCACTGTAACAAGCACTGGTCAAAGCCCTGATATGGTGGTGGTGGGAGTCAGACAAGAACCTGAGCACAGGATGTGAAAAGCCCACCAGCTATGAAAGACATTTCTAATATGCAGGATCATAGTTTTCTCCAGTTTAAAAAAATCCCTAATTTTCAGTTACAGAAAAATAATCCCAAATCCACATTTTTCCATTATTTAAATGAAACACCGCTGATATACATCTACATACACACGCACATACATACATACATACACACACACATACATATACACCCCCTGAAAATTGGGGATTTTTTTAAAGCAGAGAAAACCAGGATCCCTGCTTTTATTTAGACCGATTGGTCAGCAGATAGACAGACCTACAGATTACACTCAGATTCTTGCAATAGGAGTTTGTTGCAACTTTTGTCTTTACACAACACATGGAATAGAAAGGAGGCACAGGGTCAGGGCCGACTGTCCAGCTTTACTAACCTATGGAAGATGGAGAGCCAAGCTCATTAAGCAAACGACAACTCGGGCATGGCACCGGTGGCTTCTAAAATGAAGAAAACGGTGAGGAACACTAGAGGGCTCACAACCTATCTAAAGGGAAACGATGCCAACTCTACCGTGTGTGTGACCACCGAGGAATCAAAAGGGCTGAGCTATTTGAATTCCAGGAGGGATTTAACTGAAGTTAAGAGTGGTCATCTGCATCTCAGAAGATGGAGAAATTAAACTGAGGTCTGTTGGAATCTGTTACAAAATGAGAAGCATGCCCACTGGGCTGCAGTAACTGTGGCTACTGCTCAGTGCATGCCTTTAAGATGCTTAGGGATCTCTGCACAGAAAAGAGGAAGGGAAAAGACAATATGCTTTGTCTCTGGCTCTCTGCATCATGTCTGGGTTGCATCTCTAGTTCAGACATCCTGTGAAATACCTGCAAGCATCAGCAAAGAGAAGAGGGTGGCTTGGTTGGAAAGGTC